TAGAGATAAAATACCTAGCTATCTTATGCAATGAGACCACTCACAAATGCCTGAATGACCTTCTTAGCTTTCCTGCTATCTATAAGATGGACAACTAATAATTTTCAGCAACATTATGTTCAACCTCAAGCTGTCTCTTTCCTCTCCCTCACCTACCTTGGGCCCCCGAGAACTTTTTATGGAGGAAAAAAAAAAAAAGCTTCATTAGGCAGAATGCATTGCTGTAGGAAATGGTGTATTTCTTTTCTTTTTTTTGTTTTTTTTTTAATATAACAAATACTTGTTTAAGTGACTGAGAACACAGACTCTAAACCAAGACTTCCTGAATTAAAGAGCCAGGATCACTGTGAGACTTTATGCATGTGCCTTAATATAAATATCTCAGTTCCAACATATGTAAAAAAGTTATAATACTAGCACCAGTTCAGAGTTTTGTAATAAGATTAAAAGCATGAATACATATTAAATTCCTGGCAATAATCAGTACTGCATGTTAACTATTACTATTACTGGAGACTGACATATCTTTAGGAAGCTGAGTTTAGTAATGCTAATTTGCTGGTGAGAAAATATTTTCTTAGCAAAATTGAAGATGGAAGATATTCTTCTTTTAAGGTTGTTTCAGAATTAAGATACTTTACAGGTTGATATTTAATTTTTAAAGAAATTATGGGAAGCACATATTTCTGAAAGGAATACACTAGTTTGTACAAGCTTGTGTGTTAATTTAGTTCTTGACAAACATTTTAAATAGATGTTTATTTAACACCATTTTAAGAGGAAGTGAGTAACCATAATCTTTAAATTCTCAGATTTGTTGGAAAGCTGACACTCATGACTGTATTGATGGTATGATATTAAGGTCCACAATTATGAACTCGGGATGTGAAGATACTTCTATAATGGGTTATTACAGGTTAATTTTCATTCAATACATATTTTAGATCAAAACCAGATTAAAGATCTGGTTTTGCTTAACAGAGATACTTACCTTTGTATAATGATCACTCGATATGTTAGAATTAGTATTTCACAGTCTCTTCTAATGGATTTATCATGACTAAATTCAGTTAATTTTATATTTTTTTTTTATTTTTTTTTAAAGATTTATTTATTTGTACATACAGAACTGGGGTACAGGCCAGAGACTCAGGGGCAGTGAGAGACTTCACCAGAGACAGAGTGGGGAGCAGAACAGGCAGATCGACGAAGTACACTGCTGAGGGGAGCAGCGGGCGGGTCAGGAGAGGTCTGCCACGCCATGTGGTCTCCTCCGGGGCAGGCGGGGATCGAACTCATGCGGAAGTGGCTTTAGCTTCTCAGTGCAGTGCTTTAACCCGCTGCGCCACCAGGGAGGGCCTAATTTTATATTATTTTAATATACTTTTGGTAATATTAATTCAACGAGACAATATATAATCTCCCATGTAAGGATTATAACTGATTTTTTTTTTTACATCACACAATGTATTCAAAATGTGTACTTTATGATTCTTAATCTTTGAATGGAAAATACATCACATATGAAGTTTTTTAAAAAATAAAACTCTGTTTTGCATTTTCCTTCATTTGAGGCAGTACACTTCAACTACATACTATGTAATAGTGTCTGTTTTAGCCAAAAAGAAATTCCACCTTTTGGAGCTATAAAATATACAGAATTGAAAGTTGACACCTAATATATTTTTCATTAGATACAGATGTTCAGTGTAAAATTCTTCAAGTATTCATGAAAAGCAGAATGACTAGAAATGTTCAGATATAATGCATAAGAAATAAAAATCATACCTTTTGGTAAATTGCTAATGTTTTTTAATGAAAACCATTTTTCTTTTTATAATTTACAAGTATTTTTAAATTTATTGTAATCATCTTGTCACTTAACATTGTGGATGGAATCTTTAAATTATCATGGATATAATGAAATAAAAATACCTAAAAACCTCTTCCAGATGTAGAAAATCTCATAAATAATTTCTAAAAGAATCATTCAACAATATTTATCTTATTACCTTGAAACTTAATTAGTAATGTTGAAATACCTCTACTATTTATTTTTCACACTTGGTTGTGAAATAACTTCCAAATTATTGTTAGAAAATGCAGGCCAATATGATGAGTGCACAGTAAAAATTCCCTTATGCTGACATGTTTCTTGAGACCACTCCTTTCATTCTGCAGGAGCTGCAGTCAGTTATGAAATGATAGCAGTTCTGCAGAGGCAACCTCTGTAGTGAGCACTATGAGCTTACTGATGTTTTATCACCTGCAGAATTCATTGCCCTAAGGGCTAAAATGTGAACTGTGCATTTTAAACAGCATTAAAAGTAGGTGACTTTCTTTCCTTTATACCTGCCACCTCCCAAAGGAAAACAAAAGAAAACATCATTGCAAGCAGATGTTTTTAAAATCAAAATACAGTAGATGTTGTGAGTTTAAGTTGGTAGTATTCCCGTTATGTCATATTTATTATGTGTTGATGGAATTGAACTATATGAATTTTTCTTACAATATAAGTTAATCCTATGAGAGCTTCTATTTAAAACTTGAAAATAACTCTTTTTTAAACTATTTTTCCAAAAATAATGCACAGTATTTTCTTAAATTTTCCCAGTAGTTAGCTACATCTTTTTTTTTTTTTTTTTAAATTCAGCTACTCACTGGATGTAGATGATCCTGTTACAGGGACTTGCCATGTAAATAATATTAAACTCCCATCTGTAGGAAAATACACACACGAAGATATACCTTGGGATGTTTATACTGTGTTGAGGAAGACCAGGACTTTATACCAAACATGTTACTAGCAATAGTAGAAGTGTGGTAAGTAAGTGTTATTGATGAGCATGACCACGTAGAGATCAGTGGGCACTGGGAGGATCTCTTTCTGCACTGGCAATTAAAGGGAAATTGAAATTGGCCAAGCAGACAGAAGGTAGGACTGAATGGGGAGCGGATATGCCAGGAATGAAGGTGTCACTGTAGTTCTCCTGGGGAGACTGTGAAGGCAGAGTGCAGACCCAGTAGCAGGCTCCAAGGATGCTGGATTAGGAAGACGCACGTGGGGAGGCTTTTGATATTAGTACACTCCTAACTTCTGTCTGCTTGTCAATTTCTGTTTCCCTTTAACCACCAGTCCAAATGGGGAGGCTTGTGATATTAGTTTCAGAGGAACATTTATCTTTTAGGTAAAGGACATTAGTGACTGTGTATTGAAAATGCAGAATGACTGAGGTTGTTGATTAACACTATTATTTTTAGCAATGACTATGGTATCAATTGGAGATAGGAGATGAGACTGCAAGAAGAACCAGTGTGTTTGTGTTTATTGGTTTAGCCATCAATCATGACAATTTTTCCTACAATTATACAGCCAGAAATTGAATAAAGACAGAGTCGACAGCACTTGTGACTGATAAGTTTTAGCAAATTTATGCAAGAAAAGAAAATATTGTGAAATTTAAAGAATTACAGCACCAAGAAAAGGAGAAGGTTTTTGGCAAAAGTGAGTTCTGGGAGTTATAAGAAAGAAATAAATCAGTAGTTTTATAAAGCTAGGGGAATGGAGAAATCTGTGCAGGTGTAAGTATACAGGATTTCCTTTGAGAATGACAAAGATATTATAAAAATGATTGTCCTGTGAATATATGAAAGGTTATTAAATGATATACTTTCAATGTGTGAATTGTAAGGTATGTGAAATATAGCACAAGAAAGCTGTGACAACAAACAAAAACAAAAATAATAAAAAAAGAAAAGACTTTGGGGGCACATAGGAAAGAGGATAAGTAACCTTTCACTTGGAACCAGTTAAATGTCAGGGATGAACAATTGTGAATCACGTTCATAAAAGCCATGGGTAATGCTTTTAGTATGGTTGTGAAAAGAGAGAAAGAAGGAGAGATCTGAATCTGATAATTCTGTAGTTCAAGACTGCAGGAGGAAGGGGGTGGTTAGTGAGCTAGTGTTTTCTTACAGAAGCTTTTCACTCACATTTGCCTTACCCATATTATCTTAATCAGGAAAACAAATTTTGGTTTTTGAGAGAACATGAAAATATGGCTTTATGCATGGTCATGGTATTTAAGCAGCCAAAGGTAGTACATTTAATATATATATATATATTGTGTAGAAGAACATGGGTGCACACCAACCATGTTGAGGGTGAGAGAATTTACCAGAGACACAATGGGGAACAGAACAAGCAGATCTACTAAAATACACTGCTGGGGGGAGCAGTGGCAGAGACAGGAAAGTTCTGCTGCGCCCTATCTGGCTTAACTTTCTGGAGGGAGATAGAACTTAGCATTTTGTGGTGGGAGCACGGAGTCTGAACCACTAGGCCACCCTGGAAACCACTAGGCCACCAGTAGTTGGTTTTTAATAAACTATGGCAATATTTCAAATTTAAGAAAAGAGAGTTTTGATGATTTTGTAATCAAAGACATACATGGAACACAAAATACCAATATAGTCATTGGGAAGATGGCAGTTTGAATTTTATTAACTGGTTGGTTTTTATTTGGTTTTTAAATGGTGGGATTCTTTCTTCCTGCATATCACTTTGCAGAACAGGCAGAACAATGAAGTACACTGCTGAGGGGAGCAGCGGGCAGGTCAGGAGAGGTCTGCTTGGCTATGTGAATCACCTCTGGGGCCTTAGTTCGAACTCGCACTGAAGTGGCTGCAGCACGCTCGCAGTGCTGCGTCCTAACCTGTTGTACCACCAGGGAGGGCCCACTTTACTACTTTTAATTTGAAATAAAACATAGTCAATGGAAAATGCATCATGAAAATATAAAATGTTTAGATTGTGCAACCAAAGGAAAACATAAAACTCCAAAGAAACAACTCTTTCCTGTGGGCTTCTATTCTAGACAGATAAACTCATTGGAATAAAAATTGTCGTGATAAAACCTGTGTCAAATATATTGGCATAAATGTCATATTTGTGCTGTGGGAGGGTTGTCCTTTTATAATGCTTCTCTTTGTTATCTCAGGGAAGGAGATTACAGCAGAAACCTTTATGGAGAAGTTGGATAATGGTGCTTTGCTCTGTCAACTTGCAGAAAGCGTGCAGGAGAAATTCAAAGAAAGCTTGGATACTAATAAACCCATAAAGGTAAAAGATACTAAGGCAAATATCAATGCCAGATGATAGAATATGTTTGTGTAGCTTATAAGTTGAGTTTAATGTAAAGATTTCATTGTGATTGGATGTAATAATGTCTCTTTTAAAAGAAAAATCTCAACATGATTTTAAATGAGGTCACATGTTATTTGCACTCTAATTACATAAATTACACAATCCTTTGGGTAATTCTAATTAAAGAAAAGCTTCCAGAAAAATAAAAGCTTCACTGGTGCTCATATAAAACAAGTACTATGTATAAACAGATTGATCTGATGTATTAATTAGAAATTTAGCAGAGAAATAACTTAGGTCACTGAGGCAATGAACAAAGTGTAGCCAAGAAAGATTTACTAATTAGGTCTTTGTTTCCAAATAGGTTATTTTGGAAGAATATTGGAACAAAATATCTAAGGGGTGCTTTTTAAAATTTGTTTTAAATAAATACTAGCATTAAATGAAACTTTGGACAAAGTTGTTTTCTTTTTGAGTGATGTTTGATACATTTTGAAGACAACAATAAACCATTGATTCAGTGGATGCCATGCTTTGCTATCTATTGGAATCATCTTTAAAAATACCGAGACCTATTTCCCATGTCTGGGCATTCTGATATGATCCCTATGGGGTGCTTGGGGGCTGGGATCTCTATAAAGCCCAACCAGTAATACAATGCTCAGCGATATTAGGGAATTACTGCTTTCATTTTTTTCTCCACCATTGGACAGACACAGACCAGGTTGTTTTTGTAAGATCACCTGACTGCATGTGACTGGGCAAGAATTTGGCATAGACATTTTTTTATTCAATGCTGGTGCTATTTTGTTTTGGTTCACCATGGCATGGCATAGATGTGAGGAAATTATAGATGAAAATTATACATGTGAAACATAATGTTAGAAGTTAGGAAATCAGTTACTCTTTTCCATGATAATGGAACTGATCTCTGCTTCAGCTTACTGATGAGAAAACACAATGTTTAATAGGAGGACAATTTGTATAGAAAATACTCTATATAATAAATTAAGATGGGGGAAAAGTGATGGGCTCAGACTTTTGAGAACATTATGTTCATATTGCATCAGTCCTGAAATCTCTATTAATACTGCTTCTGCTATGAAAAGAAAGGTCACTAACTCCGTGTTAAGATCTTGAATCTTCATAGTGACAAAGAATAAGCAACCTACTGAGACTATGAAATGTAAAAAGAAATGAAGGAAATTTTCCTTTCAAAGTGAGTAAAACTGTAAGGTTTTATTAAACTTTAAACACATCCTTTACCATAAGATATTTTTAATTGAATATGAAGCTCAAATTATTATCTGATTATTGTAAGTATATTTTGGTATAAAAATTCAACTATGATAACTGAACACATGCAAGTTTAAAAATACTTATTATGATCTCACCTCAATGCTGAAAAAAGTCAAATTTAATCTGAGTTAGAAGTTGACACAATTACTCTTGACTGAATTGCCTTCTGTGTTCTTGGCATAACTTACATATTCACAACTGAGTTCCAACAATATGCAACTTAAATCAAAAGGAGGCTAGTTCATATATTTTTTTTTATGAGAAGCTTTTCAAAGGATGAGAAGTCAGCTGGTTAATATATTTATAGGTATTATTGTTCACAAATATAATTGTCAAGACAAGGTTTTCAATTGGCTTTTTGATTATAAACAATGATATTATATAAGGTTATATAGCATTTTGTTATCATTAAATCTAAACTAAAAAAAAAAAAAAGAATATACCCACTAAGTCATAGGCATTTGGGTTTGCAATGAGTATAAAACAGGCTTTCAAATTGTTTATAAATAACCGATTTATAATAATGAGTTAGCTTTTGTGCATGTGAGTGTATGCTTGTTGATTTATTTTGCACCTTGACATTTTGAAGTTATAGACAATAATGGAGAAGACTGATGAGTTGGTCAATACCTCCTCTAAGTGGGTGAAAATATATTATGCTTAGGGAGATGCTAAAACAGAATTACTTTTAAAAAATCAGCAACAGCCCTCCCTGGTGGCACAGTGGGTTAAAGCATAGCACTAAGAGGCTAAAGCCACTTCAGCATGAGCTAAATCCCCACCGGCCTGGAGGTGATCCACATGGCATGGCAGAACTCCCCTGACCTGCCTGCTGCTCTCCTCAGCAGTGTACTTCGTTGATCTGCCTGTTCTGTTCCCCCCTCTGTCTCTGGTGAATCCTCTCACTGTCCCTGCACCTGCATAAATAAATCTTAAAAAAAAAAAAATCAGCAACAAACTTGACCCTTTCCAGAGTCTTCAAAATTATTTCACAGGAAGCCCTTTATATTTTTTCCCCTAGAAACTTAAATGACATTTCCTCATTTTCATAGTGATATTTTTACATTTCCCAATTGGTAGGTAATTTGGAGATTTTACAGCTATGTAAGCACATTTAGATGAGATGCCTGGTATGTGTGAAGTATGTCTGTTAAAAATGATTTGAGTATTCTTAATATTTGAAAGTAAATTTAAATACATATAATAAGTTTACATTTTTATATAGTAGACTTAACAGAATTAAGTAGCAGTTAGTATAAAATTTTGAGACCAGTATGCTCCAACTTAATATACAATTTGATTTTAGTTAGTTATAGCTATCATAGTAGGATCAATTCACCAATAAAATAAATGTGTATGTACCTGTAGTAAGGAAAACTAGAACAAAAATCTAAACAAAACTTAGTTTTCCAATATTATTTCAGGTTGAGAGAACCAAAGAAAGGCAAATCCAAGTTTTTAGTTTTATGGAATTTGAACCTTAGTTACCCCATTCAAAGTTGGAATCTACAATCAAGACAGTGCTACAATGATGTATAAATTATTATTTCCTGGTCCAGATAGGGTTAAACTATAAATAAACTACTTATTGCATATTGCTCTGTTCTTTTCCTACCAGCCAAGACTTGCTTATTATACAAGATTATCTCAAACACCAGGGCATCAACAAGGGACAAGCTATTTTTGAAGGGTTCGACCTTTTCTTCTTAATATGCCTTTCTATTTGTCTCAAATATTCTGAGAGTATACCATAGACTTCAGAATTTTTCTGGCTTAGCGCCTCATTTGAGTTAAGAGAACCCTGGATACTGCTTAGATCAGGTTTGAAGTGCATAAAAGGGGGGGAAAAAAGAACGAAAGAAAAAGAAAGAAGAAGAAGAAGTAGTTCTGTTACCTAGTAGAATACTAACATTATGCTCCTAGGAGGGACTGAACATTCACCATCTAAGGTAGAATCCAGTCCTTGTTTGAGGGAAAGAACATCCTTGTCACTTAGATGCCTATGGTACGTTTACTCATTAATAATACCTAGTTCTCTGAAGTGTAAGGTAACTATACCTCAGGATGTTATTTAATGGATTATTTTGCTACCTGTGACTGAGGTGAAAGAGGCAAAAAATTATAGTTAGGTGATAATCTGTTTAATTCTTTAGGATTTTTAAAAGAATGTAAAAATCTTTGTTTTAAATATATTGTCAGTTATTTTTTCTGTATCAAATTGAATTCCCCCATCACCATTTTTTTTTTTAAGTCTCTGATTATCTGGCCACTCATCTTTCTCTACATCAGAGACAATGAAAAAGTCTCAATGTTTTTCTTATTGAAAATATTTCTGTTCTATTATGTACACTTAAGCAGATATGCTTCAATGCTATTCCATACCCAAGTGATAAATGTTGGCAGATAGTGTAGTGTACTATGAAAAGGATGTTAACATTTTATTGTCATAAGAAACTTGATATAGACTGAATGTGTAAACTGAATAAGAAAAGAGTAGGGGTGTGAAAGGGAGTGAATTATGTGCTCATGGAATTTAGCTGGGACTTCAGGCCTAATTTAACTAATTCCACATATGACACTTCTACTTGGCAGAGAGCTGCTGAACACAACTAAAAGTACTGTCAAATTCATCATCTGGCACTAAGCTCATGGTAAACAGTTCATGTTTCATGGTTTCATGGAAACTTGAGACCAGGTCTCCATCCTGGTATTCCAAGTTAGAGATCAACCCCCATTAGACAGTGTTAGTGAGCTGGGCACATTTGCATGACATCCTTTACACGGTGATGTTCCTTTGTTACTCTATTTTGGGACTCATAAAGTTCATTAGTTGGAAAAGTCCTCTCCCTGGGTCTGATGGGATTTATTCTCTATTCTCTGGAATGTATATGTTTTATAAAGTCATCTAGTTTACATACTGGTCCTGCTTTTTAATATCAAAAAACAAAATATCATAATAGAAGATTTGATTTCTTATGCAATGTTGAAATGTCCATGGTTTTTGTAAGTCATGTCACAGAACTAATGTTGGTGTGCAGCATAGAAAATAATCATAATGCCTAGCATACACATGTTTAGGAGATACTTTAGCTGAATATAGATGTGAATGAATGGCCCCAAATAGATACTTACTTGTAGATTTAGATGGGTCTAGATTCAGTGGGTCTAGCAATCATTCACTTTTTTTTTGTTTGTTTGTTTTTTATTTTATTTTTTTCTTTTTAGCAATCACTCACTTTTAATCCTTACTATTTTATTATCAACAAGTTTGAAATTCCTCCCTTTGCTGGTTTTGCTTAGCTCAAAACTCTACAATACTCATAAACACAAAGAACAAAGTTGACTTTTTAAAGAATGGAGAAAACAGAGGACTAGAGGATTTTAGGATGGTTGAGGGGAAGAAAAAAAAATTCTGAGGAATTAAAAGTATTGCCAGAATAGACCATGCAGGTCTAAAAAAGTTAAGTGAATTCTGGAGGATTTTGATAGTTTAGTTAATGGCAGATATTATAGAGTTTATGTGATGTATTATTATTTATGTTCAAGGAACTACCTGAAAGTAAAACTGATTATAAAAATGAGCATACAGTCTAAATATTTCACTCAGTTTGAAGATAATTTTTCAGGCCTGCTTATAATATTTGCCTTGGTTCCAATAAAATTAGGATCAGATTAAT